ATTCCTGCTACGAAATTGTTCTCAGGCGCTATTCCCAATACGGGGGCCTCTTCCAGAGTTGCCTGGAGCACTGGGGGAGCAACTGCAGTGTGGCTGACACATGCATACGCACCACAGCTGGAGTCACGAGAGCACACGGGGAGGTCCCACCGAGTCCCGCCCTGCAGCTCCTCCCCAAACCTATGTCGTTCTTTGGGGGAATGAAAGTGACTCGCTGGCTGGGGAAGAAGCCACATGTGGCGTGGCCTCCCCTCTGATGGCCTGGGACCGGACGTATCCGAGTGCCATGGGACGGGAAGGACTGCTATAAGAGCAGCCGCCATACCACTCAAAGTAACCACAGTATGGACTATGCAGGACCTCATTGTGCCGATAACCTCCCCGATAGTTTGCTTCTTTTGCACCAGACAGACGGTAGCTGAGAACCCTCAGCCACAGCCAGGGCTCCAACCTATGCAGAAACAGGGTTCCCAGCGGACTAGCCGTATCAGGTGCCCTAATGTTTACTGTGGGGCAAGGAGGGGGGGGGACAGGCAAGAGGGACTAAGCGATTCCTCCATGTGTTCGGGACTGCAGGAGTTCATCCCAGTCCAGCCCCCTTAGGGACAAATGCTCGGCATTAGCCAATGTTTTAACTGCACTCACAGCAACCCCGACTTCAGTGGGAGCACTTCACAGCTGAGGTCAACAGCAAAAAAAAAAGCACCCACCCCCAGATGGTCTCCCACAAATACCTGTGGGAATGAATTTGTTGTTGTTGCCGTCAATTCACAGCTGACTTATGACGACCCGGTAGGGTTTTCAGTGCAGGAGACAAACACAGGTAGTTTGCCATTGTCTTCAATGAGCCAGTTTGGTGTAGTGGTTCGGAGTGCGGACTCTAACCTGGGAGAACTGGGCTTGATTCCCCACGCCTCCACATGCAGCTGCTGGTGTGACCTTGGGACAGTTACAAGCTGTTTCAGAGCTGTTCTCTGGAGCAGTTCTCGAGAGAGCTCTCTCAGCCCCACCTACCTCACAGGGTGTGTCTGTTGTGGGGAGGGGAAGGGAAAGGTATCGTAAGCCGCTCTGAGACGCCTTCGGGTAGTGAAGGGCGGGGTATAAATCCAATCTCCTCCTCTTCTTCCTCTGCATTATGGCCCTGGACTTCTTTGCTGGTCTCCCACCCAAATACTAGCCAGGGCCGACCCAGATTAGCTTCCGAGATCTGACGGGATCGGACTAGCACGGGCTATCCAGGTCAGGGCCGTGGGAATGAATGGGAGGGTGGAAAAGTAGTCGTGTGCTTTTGCGCAACTCTGGTTCCTTGCAACTGGGGACATGTGTGCGTGGGTGCATTATGCCCAGAGCAATCAATTTATGAAATCTGCAACCCTTTAATGAGCTTTATTGAACTGTATGTATGTGTGCGCGTGCGTGGGGGAGAAAAATAGGTTGTATTTTTTTACATTTCAATCTCTGCCTTTATGTGCCCAGGCTCTCTCTCTCTTCTCCCTTCCGATGCTACTGGCAAAAGCCCTGATCCTGGAAAGACTTGATGGGCATTGCGGGGGGGGGGGGATGACTTTATGATGCTAGACAATCAAACGGGGGCACAGAGCTCCTGAACTGGGTACTGGATTCTTCATAGCTCGGCGAGCCTTTCCGAGCCTTTTGGGAGTGGTGTAGTTGGTAGGAGTCCGATTGCGCTCGCCGTTAACTGTTTACACTCTGAAACAAAAATGTAAGTGTAAAGACACAAAGGTCGTTGTGGTGTTTTTTGGATTCTTCTTTCTTTATTTTAATTCCCCCCCCCCTCAGGACAATCGCCCTCTAAAGAGATTCAGATATTTATTAACGGCAATGTACAGGTTCGCCCCCCGTGGGTTTTTGTTTCCGCTTCAGAATTTCTTTAAATAAACTGTAAAGCTGTGGGTGTTTGGGTGTGTAAAAATGTTGAACTTTTGAATGGTGGCATTGATTATTTTTTTTTAAATTGTCAAGGCCACCTGTCTACAGACTGATCCTTAATGGGTTACTTACATATGGTTGGATTCGAGTCCAGTAGCATCTTAAGAGACCAACAAGAGTTCCAGGGTATAAGCGTTCAAGATTCAAAGCTACCTTTGGGTGCTTTCAGACGGGGTGTTTCAGCCGGCAGAAACTGTACCGGTTGGAACCGTTGCTTTTTGTGCCGGCTGAAACGCGATCACACTTACCTCCGATCTGCGGAGCCCATCGCTGTATGCCCGTTCACACCCAACAGGCATCGGCAGTTTGTTGGGTTTTTTTAAAACTCAGTTTGAGCATGCGCATAGGCAGCCATCCACAGAATGGTGATCTTCGCGCATGCGCAAAACACCCCGTCCCGAAAAGCATGCCCTGAAGAGAGGACGTACCTTTAAAGTTTAAAGACCAAACTGGCCTCCCTGAGGTCCCGAACTCCTCTAACACCTTAAACTAAGGACCTTTTTCTTTTAACAAACGCCGGGGTGAAGCGTCGCCCAAGCGCATATCACTGACCTAAGAAAAAAAGGGCGGTCGAAAATCGGAAGCCTCGAGCTTCCGAATGGAAGTGGCTCTACAACGGTGGAGAGCAATCAGACCGGGTGTGTGTGTGTGTGTAAAGCGATTACAACCATTACACTCAGGATACCACCACTTGGGGGCCTAGTGGCAGAATACAACGGTTTAAAGCTCTTTGCAATGGTTAGGGACAGAAGGCAGATGTTCGCCGTGTGAACGCAGTAAGTACACCGATTCCAACCGGCACCTATACCGTTGCAAATGCCCCATCTGAACACACCCTTTGTTAGACACAGTACATATGGTTGAACACAGTGAACCTTTCTGCTGGTGTAAAAAAGGAAGGAGGTCCCTTTTGACTGCCAGAAAAGGCTATTTAGAGTTGCTAGGTTCCTCCTGGCAACCAGTAGGGAATGGTGGGTTACTTACCAGGAGAAAGTGAAAGGCCCAGGACACACTGCCAGAGTTGCACAGGAAGTGATATCACACCCGTGACTCCTGGGCAACACTTTGGCTTTGGGCAAAAACTCTATGGTAAAACTGGCTTCTACCATAGAACTTTTGCCCAAATAGCAGAGCGTCACCCAGAAGCTGCTGATGAGAGGACATCACATCCTGTGCGACACCAGCAACGTGGCCTAGGCAAGCCCCCCCCCCCCGCTGGCCAGCTGATCAGCGGCTGGGGGGCAGGGCCTGGCAGTAGAGGACCCTGGACTGACTAGCTCTGCATAGGATTGCACTGTCATTTTAAATCCTCCCTGATGTGCTAATTTTCTTGATATAGGGAAATGTTGTTGCCCCCAATCTGTGGCCAGTTGTGTGAGCCCGCAATCTAAAGTGGCAGAGGTTTACCACCTGTCTGAGCACAAAGTTATTGAGTCAAACCCTTCATTTGGCTAGTTATTTCCAATCCAGAAATCAATGAAGGCAGTGGCAGGGGGCACTTGTGTGCCTGTATTGGATACTGGAATAAGGCTCCGTTCTCTGTTAAAGGCCTGGAGGGCTATGTGTAGGTTGAGACCCACTTTCTTTGTCTGCCCCAAGCCTGGTGATTTCACCACAAGAAACAGGAGACAGGGAACCAACATCCAAACACCCTCTTCACAAGTTAGAGCGCACATACAGTCCATGTAAGGGTGTGGGTTGGATTTTTCTTTACACGTGCACTGAGGAATCCTCACATTACATTTCACACGTGTACAACCGAACATGTGATTTTGAACCAG